ATTTAACTGGTATAATAAAATGATTGTTTGTTGGTTTGTTTGGGACCGACGGTAGAGTTTATTTTGAATTTCAATATAAAATGAAGCTAATAGGTTCGCCAAAGTACCACTAACGCGTATAGTCTTAATGATTCGACAGCGCCCCTCTTTTCAGCAACAAGCAACAGTTTTTTCAGTTACATGTGACGGCCATGTTTTTTTTTTCAAATCTCAAAAGAACACATTCTGTGTCGCATGTGGAGTGGCCCTTTATGCATTTCGAACATTTTGAAAGTTTCTAGGCTTTCTTATTTCATTTGGATAGATGTTTGTCGATTAGGACGATGCGACGGTACTGACTGCCGACGGAGCGCTTGCCGGTATAGACTATAAGAGCAGAATAAAAACTTCTATGGTTCAGATTAATTACAAATTATCGCTTATTTTGAATAGCTACAATAACGGTGTCTCACTGTATAAACTTTAATGTCTGATGCCGGTAGTCAAATTATTCAGGTCGATTCACGGCACGGAAAAGCCGTCACCTAAATCGAACACAAAAAGATCTGCAAATTATTTCTAGGTCTCCTTGCGTTGTCTAGATTATTATCGCAACCTAACCCCGGTTAATAACTTCCGGAAATGCCGGGTATTTTTGTTCACGTCTTGTTTGTGATTTTGTCGGCCGTAACATATGACGCAGTTTTAGCCCGGAGCCGATTAATGCGTAACCTATCAGTAAAATCTCAAGTTTATTAGATTTATCATTTATTAATCAAGATTTTAGATAATCTGGCAATGAATTTCCGTGATAACTGAACGCGTTGAAGTAACTTAAAGGGTTTAAAGCCCGAAATGGTCCTGCTGATTTATCTCCTGTGTTCCTAATTTAGGTACAAACTTCTAGACTTCGCTATCATGCTGGTAAGTATCAGCGCCGGTCTCCATACAAGCAGACGAGCAAAACGATTCACTTCTGTAGGCTTCGCGCGACCCAAAGCGACCAGTTGCGTGATTTCTATTTTAGCAACCCGTTAACGATTGAACCAAATCATTCTCACAATACCAATTTAATATATCTAGTACCTGGTATATAAAATATCAGTCACTATCGTCGTAATACTAATCAAAGCCGTGTCTCTCAAATCACGTGCAATTTGAGCAATTGTAATTAAAACCGGCCGTATTTTTGTATCAGTCATATCAGAGATAAACCTATATGCCCACTGTTAATATCTGAAACATTAAACTGAGCGATCTCTGTGAGCAACCGAAGTTTATATAGTCCGTGCTACAAACTGCCGCTGTGTGAATCCGTATAAATTAAGATATACCTATTGGTATAGATTTAGCCTTCGTTAATAGTTTTACTAAAGAGATCCTATTCCACAAATCGACCATAGTGATATTACGTTGGGTATTTTAAATACTGATACTAGTATTGTGAAAGCAATTGGATAAAAACAATGTATGTATTCAAGTTTCAACCGGGAATTGTTTTGTGATTTTATTCTTATTTTTGAATTTCCAATGTACAAAACATGATTGGGTCACAGCCCATTAAAAAAAAAACAAATATTGAATTTAGAATTGTTTTAAATTTAAGGCGCGAATATTTTATCTTTTTATTTAAAAGTAGAATTAGATTTGTGATGAAACTTATTACATACATTAACATTCGAACATTTTACAAGCACTGATATTAAATAAAGATAATTCTAACCGATATTTATTCTTGTTTTAAATTTTTGTAAATTGTATTTTTTTTAAACAACCTTTTCATTAAATTATTTTAGCTTGCTCGATTTATTTAATTAATCCTAATTTTATTTGTAATTGTTAGTAATTTATCATTCATGATTATTATGATATGTATAATTTTTCGTAAAATCACATTTCCGACGGCTACCGTCTAACTTTACTTAGTTTTTTATTTTATTTGATTGTTAGCGAGATAGCGCAGTTAAGAATACGGTCTACGTTTATTATGTACATTTTATGAAAATTAAATAAATTGTCTATGTTTTATTAGATATTATCTATGTTTTATTTTTGATTTACATTTTATTTTTTTTAAATATGTAATTGTAATTTTGCCACTGCCGTGTGGAACATAGTTATTTGTTCTTAATAATTCTTGTTTTGTTTTATTCAATACTTCTCTGGGAGGAGGCGTATTTATCGCTTTTGATCGATTTACATTCGAATAGTTTTATTGTATTTTATTCTTGTTTTAGTTTGCAGTTAAGTTATCGAGTAGGTATTATAAGCGCAGAAAGCCGGGCCGACGGTAAATATCTTAGTTTCAGAATCTTGTTGATAGATTTTAACCAAAATCAGCTGCTCCGTTTTCAAAGCCGCAAAAGGATTCGAATGGGCCTGAATCGTCAATGTTCCTCGAGAAAGATCCAAATAAAAAATAGGGTTTTTAACAATTCGCTATTATACATTCAACGACAATGTTTTTTTTTTTTATGTGTGAGTTACACCTCTAAAACCGATATTGAAATTTTGAACTCAGATAAACTTTAATGCGCTAGAAGCGTCGGTGATTTTAAACCGATCAAACAGAACACTGGAGGATCAGCTGGATCAAATCCTTTACTCTACGAAATGTTACAAATGTATGACGACGCTTGAAAGGCAAACGTGACTAAGCGACAATGCGTGAACTTTACAGTAGACTAATTTAAAATTGAAATATCTGAAAAAAAAACCTATTTTAACGAATCTAGCTGTAGTAATTTTTTTTTATTGCTTAAATGGGTGGACGAACTCATAGCCCACCTGGAGTTAAGTGGTTACTGGAGACCATAGACATATACAACGTAAATGCGCCACCTTGAGATATAAGTTCTAAGGGACTACTCCACCCTTCAAACCGAAACGCATTACTGCTTCACGGCAGAAATAGGCGGGGTGGCAGTACCTACCCGTGCGGACTTACAAGAGGTCCTACCACCAGTGATTAAGCAAATTATAATTTTGCGGGTTTGATTTTTATTACACGATGTTATTCCTTCACCGTGGAAGTCAATCGTGAACCTTTGTTGAGTACGTATTTCATTAGAAAAATTGGTACCCGCCTGCGGGATTCGAACACCGGTGCATCGCTACATACTAATGCACCGGACGTCTTATCTTTTAGGCCACGACGACGTAGAATCTAGCTAGTAGCTATAGGATTGGAATGATTTTAATAGACCTAGAAATATATATTTTTGCGCATCGAATATGGTTATTGCCTATCATTTATGTACAAAGCAGTCATTGTCGCTTAATCACGTTTGCCTTTCAAGCGTCGATGTATTTGTCCGCGTTTAAATCTTCACATATAATTAAAACGGTTTGTGTTATTAGTTCCGAAATGTATCCGCGGACCGCATTTCGAGGGTTCCATCGTAAAGTTATACGACCTACCGGAATCACCTACACGATTACATTTTAATAGTTTTACGAACGTAAATAAATTTTGCGTTGTTAAATTTCTGTTCGACGGTGAGCATTCGTGAGCACGCGTTATATCATACGAGCATCACTGTGGTACACGTCATATTATTATGTTGTTTTCAAAATTTACGCCTTCGTTTTTCAAATCTTAAATTTTAATGGCCGTCGCTTTTATTATCTATGAAGTTTTTCTTTTTTTTTCTAAAAACTACCACAGATTAGTTTGCGTAATTTACATGTTCGTAAAATACAGATTCTAAAATGATATCGTTGAAAGCAGACGGACTTTTGTTTTTTTTTTGTTTTCATCGTCGCAAAAGAGTTTTAATTACAGAAACTTGTTTCCCGTTTATAAACACAATTAATCGCGTTCCTAACAATGGTTCTAGTTTATAATGTTACGAAAAATTTTACGGTTCCGTTATTTAGTTTTTTAATTGTAATTTAATTAATCTAAACGTATGTAATGTAATTAACATATATTATTACTTAATAATTAATTTTACATAGGTTTTAATTTGCAAGTTATCAAATTGTAAAAGAAATGAAATTAATATCAAAATGATGCTCTTAATTAATAAGAGGAAATAGGAATTATCGTTTATTCCGTACATATTATATTATGTACTCGTTAAGTTTTATAAGCGCCAAGCGATTTTTATCTCGTTTTTAATAAGTTTTTGATAATATTGTAAATTTAATGATTCGTTTTACGGAAGCGGAATGTGATCGTCTTTTTTTTTCTTTTTCGATGTCAAAATTTTGAAATGTAATTCTGACGCATACAGCCATTAATATTCATTGCTCTTTGTACATTATATTAGGACTTGTATGTTGTCGTGTTATTTGTAGATATTGTAACGAACAATGAAGGATTAAACTATGAGTTTCGCTACACCAAAAACAATGCGACCCCTAAATCTTTAGAAAGTCGCACCCCAACTGTATCTACCGTTAAGGACATCTTTGTGGCAACAAAAAAACTTTTTTTCCTTTTCATTGTCAATTGAATTTTATTGTTGGTTTCCGAGACACGGCCCTTTGTGCCCAACCGTGCGTCTAAAGCTGCTTGTGTCGCTACAGAACCCACCAGGGTCCCGGGGCCCGCAAGAGAGCATCCAGGGACAATAGGCGCCCCGCTGAACGCAGTTTTATCCTATTTAGTATCGCGGAACCAGAACCCTAGTTTATATTCAGTCAGGTGTCGAACGAGACTTATTCATTTATTCGCTGTTACATATTCCGAGACATTACAGTATCTAGAACCGACGTCACCTCCGCCGGCAACCAGACAGGCTTCGTTTAATCATTGACGCTCTACGTCAATAACGCATTCATTTCGTTTTCATTTAGCCCGGCAACGTTACAACACGATTACATATTCCGAACGCGTTTCACTTGTTAGAACAACTTCCCGACGCGTCTCTATACTGATCCGTGTGCGTCTTAGAGTCCGTGACGTATACCGTCGCTGCTAGCCGTCACTATCGACGGGCTTAGATTTATCGGGGGCGCTATCGGCGGCGCGGTGTGTGATGTGCGAGTGTAAATTGAGAACGAGATGTACATACCCTAGGCTGAGCCATGAAAGCTCGGCCCGAGCCCGGGTGTAGGGCTCCGCTGGCCACCACGAACGATTTCGGTCACGGGCCCAACCTAAGACACCACACAAGCACGTGCACACATACACATATATGATCGGACACTGTCACAGCGGCCCGCTAGCTCACTAGTGTCATAATGCACTCGCGACGGCCGCAACTACTCGTGGAGGGTGTTTGTCGGAGGTTCGGGACGCGGCGTGGCCGAGCGAGGCGCGGGGAAGCGGGAGGCCCGGCGCGCTCGGCAGTCTGGCGGACACTGCCGCGGAGCCAGCGCGCGGGGCCGACGCCGGGGCGTGGCGCGCGGCCCGCCACAACCAGCGCCAATCCGCGCTCGCCGCCCCGCCCCCTCACACCCGCTCACACCCGCTCACACCCGCTCACACCGCGTGCGCCTCTACGAGCAGACGGTCGTGCCTGTTTTTTCAACAGTCCTAGCGGCAATTACATGAGAGTTTTCCTCCGTTCGGATTTTCTGTTCCGTACCTAATCAAAACAGCGAAGTCCCCTACAAGGGACCGTGCGGCCGGCCTCCACTGACGTCCTGTATGATAGGGACTGGGGTATGCGCGAGTTAATGCCCTAAAATTACTAATTTCGATACCTGAACTCTTCGAAACACTAATAACGATGATGGTTGAGCTTGGAGCGTTCTGTAACTAGCGTAGGAGCCGATGCGTGCGTTGTCAGAATGCGCACACCCGGCGGGACTTGTGATTGCTCCGTGATGGCGACATTGGACCGGACTCCTTTATCCTTGCGATACTTAAGCTGCAATCAAGGACAGTTTACGTGTCCACGCCTCAATAAAACAACTACACATCCATATTGTGGAATTATTTTATTTAATAAACAAAATCACACTGATCTTCGCGATCTAAGTCTAGTTCTTTAGGCTTGGAAAAAAAGAAAGAAAAAACAAGGAATTGAAGACGTACTAACTGAAATTAAACCTACATATTAATAACTTATAGGTTATAGAAGTGTATAACAATTAAATAAATATTCGTTATTATTAAATCCCATTTAATATGAATTGAGTCATTTAAATAATTTAAGATAATACTCTTAAACTATTGTACATGTGTAGTGATAATGTCGAAATACAATCTGCATTTGTTACAATGAATATAGCATGTAACAATCGGATAAAATTATTCTGTCGCCGCTACAAGAGTGTCCATCAATATTTCTACCAACATAAGTACCAGATTACCAATCGATATTGGTATATTTTATAGGATTTTCTTCTGCATCCACGGATGCCAAATATCTCAAACACATATTCAACTCTGGACCCCGACAACAACCAGACTCTCAAACGGGATATTATTAACCTTTTTAACTAATGATGGAAACAGCATTGAAGGTTTTTTTCAATATTTCTTTTATCGGTTGGCAGTATCATCTGGCATGGATAGTCAATAACCTAGGCTATTTCTGCCGCAAATCGTTCAAGCGCTCTATAAGATCAAGACTCAGACTTTATACAAAACAAATGAGACAATCTCATCTGAATGTGGCTAACGTTACGTCAAGATGTCTCTGGGCCCCGCTAATTTCAGGTGATCCGTCAAAAAACCAATGCAATTTTTTTTTCCATGTTCATTTTGGCATATATTTTTATTTATACGTAACGAAATCTTTGAATGTAATTCTCACAGCCTCCAAGATGTCAGATCAGCTTGTAAATTTTCTCGCGTATTAAGGACTAATGATGATACACTAAGCTTATAACCTAATATATCTTGAGATCGACAGGACATAAATATGAATCAAATCGTTAATTCGGTTCGCTGTTTATACGCGTTTTCTTAGTTTGTTAAGCTTACTGGTAGTTTTTACTGGTGGTAGGACCTCTTGTAAGTCCGCATGGGTAGGTATCACCACCCTGCCTATTTCTGCTATGAAGCAGTAATGCGAAGGGCGGGGCAGCCGTTGTAACTATACTTGAGTCCTTAGAACTTATATCTCAAGGTGGGTGGTGCATTTACGTTGTATCTACATTTCTGTGGGCTTCAGTAACCACTTAACACCAGGTGGGCTGTCTGTCATCCACCCGTCTAAGCAATAAATAAAATAACTTATTATAATGTCAATACTCATCTTACACATTGAGTACAAATTCAACTAAGTTTGGAATTGAACCTAGGAGTTACTGTCCTAGAGCCGCGCAATCATTCCACTCAATTTCAAATGTGAAAACGTCACCGTGGGACGTGATTATGTTTTGTTTTTAAACTAAATTAACCACCGTCCAGTTAACTTATTGCTCTCCCTGCAAGGTTGCCTGGAAGAGATCGCTTTCAGCGATAAGGCCGCCGATTTATCTCACCGACTTTTGTTTTATTAGTTTACTCTGTAGATATTAAGGTGTTATATAAATAAACAGTTATATTATTATTATTATTATTAAATTCTTATATGCTTCTTCAAATAAACCATATTTTAATCGTTCATTGCTTTCAAGACAGCAAGGAACACAATCCTCAAACGATTTTTAAGGAATAACATCTTTAAGTGTGTACATATATTTATTTACATTAGTGGTCCCGCAGTAATCGAAATTCGACTATAACTAATTGAAATTATAAGCTTTAAACATTATAATGGTCCCACATATTTCTTTAGTCACAGATTTCGCCAAGACTACACTATAGACAAATAATATTAAAGACAAACAATATTAATCTATTCGCAATTTGACCACAGACCTTATGCAATTACAAAAGTTTGACAATAAACAAAGAGTATGTATATGTATGTGTGTGTGTCAAATACATGGTAGCGTGTGTAATGTTTTTTTTATTGTATTAATGTATTTTAATGCCTAATTAGAAAATATATACTAACATTGTGCACTTCTTCTCTATATTCTCTATAAGTGTGGAAAATTTCATACTCCTCCGTCCGCGCTATTTTCGTAAAAAGGGGTTACAAAGTTTTTGCTTCACGTATTAATATATAGATGACAAAATCAGATCGTCACTCAAATAGATACTCCGTTTTACAATAATATATTAGATACAAATGTATTTATTTAGTGAATTTTTGAGAAACACAAAAGCCACCGTGTTCTTACTAAACACAAAAGATAACTATATCTAATGCTAGTCATTACAAAGGTTAGTTTTTTGGCACTTAGGTTTCTCTGCCAAAAAAAACAATTAGAAAAAAACATACATTTTTTTTTTGTTTTATTTTTTATTGCCGTATAGGCAGACGAGCATACGGCCCACCTGATGGTGAGTGGTTACCGTCGCTCATGGACGCCTACATTTATATACGTAAGATTATCTCTTAAGTGCAAACTGTGAACGCTAGAAAAAGCTTCTCATTACCGAGACTAAATTCAGAGCAGATGTCAGTGCCGAGAAACTTAAAGAATATGTTTTAAAAATAAGTTAAAACTCTCTATTTTCCCTTGAAACTAGTTTAACTAACGTCTTAAGAGATTGCTACAAAACTAAATCTATTTTATTAACCACTTCTTTAATTAGATTCTGTATTGATTTGTGTGAAGCGATACACATATATCTCATGTATCGAAAACATCCTGAGTTTTTAATTATTTTTTATTGCCTAGACGTGTGGACGAGCTCACAGCCCACCTGGTGTTAAGTGGTTACTGGAACCCATAGACATCTACAACGTAACTGCGCCACACACCTTGAGATATGAATTCTAAGGTCTCAGTATACTTACAACGGCTGCCCCACCCTTCAAACCGAAACGCATTACTATTTCACGGCAGAAACAGGCAGGGCGGTGGTACCTACCCGTGCGGACTCACAAGAGGTCCTACCACCAGTAATTACTTACTTACTACTTAATTTCTTACGGTTTCTTACCGATTCTTGTCAGTAGTGAACAACAGCATTCCGGTGTTTTCAAATCATAACAATTCAAAAGCTCCTCTGAAGGCCTACATTAAAAGTAAAACTGTAGGTACGTCTTTTTTTTCCTTCATATAAAATATATAAAAAAAAAAGTCATCGTGGCATAAAGGATAAGACGTCCGGTCCATTCGTATCTAGCGATGCACCGGTGTTCAAATCCCGCTTACAGGTACCAGATTTTCTAATGAAATACGTACTCAATAAATGTTCACGATTGACTTCCACGATGAAAGAAAACATGGTGTAATAAAAATCAAACCCGCAAAATTATAATTTGCGTAATTACTGGTGGTAGGACCTCTTGTGAGTCCGCACGGGTAGGTACCACCACCCTGCCTATCTCTGCCGTGAAGCAGCAATGCGTTTCGGTTTGAAGGGTGGAGCAGCCGTTGTAACTATACTTGAGACCTTAGAACTTATATCTCAAGGTGGGTGGCGCTTTTACGTTGTAGATGTCTATGGGCTCCAGTAACCACTTAAAACCAGGTGGGCCGTGAGTTCGTTCACCCATCTAACCAATAAAAAAAAAACCGTGTAAAATTATCAATGAATAATTCGTATATAAAAACTAATGACCACTTTCAATATTTGTTGGTATTTGTAATTTAAGCAATAGCCTTATCAATATTTATGAGCTATGTTACTCTCCCGTTGATCCATCGAATCTGTCCAATGTTCATCTGAAAATGACAACACCAAAACAGTAAATCTTATGTGGCGTCCGGAGGCCTCGTTTTCTTAATGATTTATTTGCATCAAATAGACGCTACAGGCAATAGGGGATAAACAAAAAAGGTAGTTCTTGTGGGTTTCGCCGGCCGTAGATGCGTGAGAGCGATGCGATGGATCTATCGGAAGATATCATACTTCAAACGAGGCTTGTGGAGAGTACTTAACGGTAGGCGGTACCATGGCATTGCTGAAGTCCATGGGCGACGGTAACCACTCACCGTCAGATGGGCCGTATGCTGGTCTGCCTACAACGGCAATAAAAAAAATCTCCATAGAAATAACATTCGTCAAAACATCGGAATTTATAGCCGTCAAAGTATTTTATATTAAATGCTTGCTAATACAAGGGTGTGCTGTGAACTAGCCAGGATTTGTACTACCATTCTGATGATTTTAACTACTAAGCCATCGTGTGTAGCGCTGTGATGAATACAACTTTACTGATGAGTTTCGTAATTAGGAGCCAAAATAAACGTAAAATATCCTAAAACAACTCTTAACCACATATGACATCATCATATTAGTGTTTTAGATAATTATTTAAAATCATTAAAATTCTACAAAAATCGATATTAGTTGATCGTTTTTTGTAGAATTTACATAATTTAGTTATTATGTCGTAACTTCGGCCTCATGTCTCAAGATAA